TACATACTCATCATGACTTGGATATATAGAATATAAACACAACAATTACAAATTTGTATACTTATAATAGATATAATCTCAATCATGTGATCATGAAAACTGCTATTCCTTTTCTGCATTAGTTTGGAAAACCCTTTGCTTACAGCCTTCTGCACAGATTAGATAAAATCAAACCTCTTCCTCAAATGGAAATCAAAGTGAGCTTATCTGTAATGTGTGGTGCTCTGTTAGCTTCATACATAGATTGCAGCGGGGGATGATGATGGTCGATGGTGATGAGCTGCCGTTTATGTTTCTAGCCGTGACAGTGACCATGTACTCCTCACTGGGGTCCAGCGTGAGTGTAAGACTGTGATTGCTTCTGGACATGTTGGTTTGGTTTGACTGATTTTTGTCTTTGGTCTTTGCCCAGGACACTTTGTAGTCAAAGATTTCTCCATGGCTCTGATTGGTCAGTGGCACCTGTGGAGACGTAACATCAAGACCTGAAATGGTAACAGTGTCCTCTGAAACATCACTTTCTGACTGTATAAGATGTTGCACTGATATTTTTTCAAATAGATTTAATAAAGATATTTTTTATTGCATCAAGTTGTGAGGAAAAAAATGAATCCAACATGCAAGTACCAAAAGCTCTAGTTTTTCTAAAGACCACTTGAGGCTGTCTCCAAAAGTAAGTCAGTTTCCAGATTTAGACCTTACCAAGAGGCCTTATAAAAGCCTTGTAAAAGCCAACTTGGACTCACCTTCCAGGAGATTACAGCCGGGTCTGCCTTCACCTTCATCCACACGTCAAGAGCATCTGGAACTGTGGTGCAACCAGACAAACGACATCTGTTACATTCACAAACTTTTTAAAGTCTTTTCTCTTAAAAAAAACAAAAAACAAAAACAACTTACCATCACCCTTCGTGCGGATTTTGACACTATTGCTCCAGTCACCCCATTTCCAGAAATGCTGTGATGTTCCACATCGGACCCTCACGTCATAGTTCCAGTGTGGTATCAAGTCCTTGATGACTGCAGCTGTGAGGCCAACTCCAAAGTTTTCAATCTACAAGGACAAAAATTATGTTAGCTGACTTCAGTGAAGACTTTTACTTTGAAAAGCCAATACCTTAGCCTCCTTTTTAATCTACTCACTTTGGTATTAGAGTTTCCATCACTGACATCTACTTGGCATGTGATGTTGAGATTACTGTACTTCTTCACAGTCCAGCTCCATTTCAGACTGATGTTTCTGGGGTTCACAGTTGAAGCTGCCACTTTGTCTGGAGCAACCATGTGCACTAAAACAAGAGATCACAACAATCAGCTGATCTTAAAGATTAAGAATAGCCTTTTTCCCCTCGTTTTTTCCAAAGTTTTACCTCTTTTGGTCAGGTCCACCCTGTCATGGAGCTCGAGCTTTCCCAGAGGATTAGTGACTGTTAAGGTCCAGTTCCTCTCAGCAGCATCCAGCTCCACTTTTTGCGAGCATTTACCCAATTGATGCATTGGTCCAATGTTGCATGGGCTAAAATGTAAAAATATACACTGCTTAAATATTAACAACAACAAAAAATCGAAGAACCCAGCAGGACTGCTAATGTTTTATGGAAGCAAATAAAGGCCCTTTCTCTCACCAGCCTCCACCGGCAGATTTTGTGAGCATTTTCCCAATGCTGTAGTGCAAAAGCATAAGTAGCTTAAATCTTTACCACAAAGGCTTCTGTTGGCTTCTCTGTTTACCACAAAGTAAACACAAAGTATGATGCAGTACTCGATACTACTGTGCCTGAGTGTGGTATCCATTTAGCCCATTAGCTTTCATAGTGAGAGAAAAAGAAAAAGACAAACTAACCGATGTTTGTGCATTTTGGACTGTATATAACAAACATATAAACATAAGAGATTTTCAGTGGTCTTAACTGCGGCCATTCACATATTCCCGTCTACCTCACTAATCCAACAGAGGTTGCTTCATCAATTATTCAGAAAGAGAAAATGAAATGAAATCTAGTACAACAAAGACATTTATATGTAAAGCAGGGAGTGACAGTATAATATTTTTCTGAAATCAGTAGTCAGATTACATTTTATTTACTTATTCTGACTAGCCTTTCTTTAGTCCCATACTGGAGCTCATTGTTACAACAGAGGTGTTGTGTATTTCCTTTTACCTTTCCTGGAGCAGGTATTTTCTTCTCACTTCTTCAACATCCTCTATTTTCCTTGTTATATTCCAAAAACAATCGATGGATTCCAGATCCTGGGTTTCACACTGAAGACTACTGTCACTAGGGGGGTCTAAATTTAAGGGAAATGTCAAGAAAACAAAAAAGAAGAACCAGCATTTAATTACAAGGTACATTTGACAAAACCACAAACCGCCCTCAAATGCTACAGTGCAGTGAAAAAGTATTTGGCCTCATTGTGCCAAATTTAAATGTTTCAAATCATCAAACAAATGTTAACAATAGACAAAAAAAAGAGTAAGTACAAAATACAGTTTTTAAGTGATGGTTTTTTTCATTAAGACAAAATGCTATCAAAAGCTCCCTGGCCTGTGTTGTGTGTACAGTAATTCCTTTTTCTCAGTACTTTGTGTCATACTTACATCCAGCATGAAAACTGGCTCCGCTGATGTCTCCTTTGGTTGTTTCACATATTACATCCCTCCAGTTTTCTGATTGTTGGTCCAGGTGAACAGTCAGGGAGTGCACATGTTCACTGATCTTTGTAGTCGTTACATTAGTGCCTTTATAGTTGAGTAGAAACATTGTTTTAATACTTTCCCCATCTGGCACCATGCAGCAGAATGTGGCTGTGCTGCCCACCTCCAATATTTGGTCTCTTGGGAGAACCAGTATTTCACCCTGGTCTGAAGAAGCACAGTGATAAGAATAAACAAGACTGTAAAGTGTTTAAGAATCAAAAAAAGATCAAATGATTTGAACTTAATATTAACCAGGTA